TATTTATTATTAAATTAAGCTAAAATATTGTAATCATATTGTATCCATCAAAGTTTTTTATATCTACATTTCGAGGACTCATTATTTATTAATTTTCCTTCCAGTTCTATGGCAACAAGAATTAAGTCTTATAAGTGGTTTCACTAATCAAAGATTGAGTATCCAAAGGAAATTGTCCTCTACTTTTATTTATTTATAATACAATGGTTTATAAGTAATTGGATCTCCCTTACTCCTTTTTTTGTATGGATGGTAATCTTCAATTTTTATCTTTTCATTTCCGCGTTATTAATCACCCTCTACCCTTTTAGATTGATAATATAATTTCTAAATATCAGGACTTACATGAGAAGATAACAATTAATTCTTCAATTTGACAACTCTTCACTTCTTAGGCTTATTTCATTTGATGCCTTGCTCTTGAGACTTTGCTCACTAAATTCTGATCGTGATAAATTTTATTTTTTTCTTACTCTCTAAAAATTATTAGAGTCAAGATTTTTTAGATTTTATCATATTTAATATTTATATATAAATACATATATATATATATATTTTTTATTTAATTTATTATCATATTTTTACTAATAACAATACATCATACTTCTTTCATCAAGAGATGAAATATATGATTTATAAAGATTAACTGATATTGTTAAATCAAACAATCATCGGAACCTTCCCCTAAGAAATATATTAAATTAATCTTTTATTAATCACTATTCAGATAGAAGATTATGAAAACACTCTTTTAGATACATTAGATTCATTTGATTAAAATAAATTCATTGTCCTCATTCCCTTGAAATAACCTGTCTTAGTTTCAAGTAAGAACAATGACTGCTTATTAAGCTTGACATTTTTTATAGTTGTGAGAATATCCATTTTTGATATCTTGTGTTTAAAGAAATAGCAAGGGTAAGATAATATAATACTATTTACAATAATTCTTACCAATCCTACTCCTACTCTATTTAATATTTTTTTAAAATAGAATATTTCATTTCTGTATCAATTAGAGATATCATAAAATTATAAATTTTGTCATCAAGTTGAATATAAATCCTAAAATAATCACCAAATTTATTTCTAAACAAAAGTTCTCTCAAAATTTTCTTTATAGTTTTAATAATAAGACTCAAATTATAATTTAAATACTGCCATTACTTTTAGATTCAGTTTTCAATTCTTTCTCTCTATAAAAAAATTATCTAAATAATAATAATTTTTGATTTATTTTTCTCAATAATTTTCTATATCTATCGTCAATCTATTAAAATTGAAATTGATTTACCCTAATATTTACAAATAAAATCAAATTTCACTTAATTGGATTAATTTTAATTATTTTTTTATTTATTTTTCAAATTCATATATATCTTTATATAATAATTGTTTGCATTATTAAAATGATATTAAGAGAGTTGAATACGAATGTACTTATAGTTATGTATTAATTATGAGCTAAGTAATGTAAGTTTTGGCCTTGAAATAATGCTTATGATGAAAAATTATTAATTTCAGCTTATCGAGAGTATTCATAAATTCCTGAAGATATCATAAAGTTGGCTAAATAATTACCTTAATAAAACCAATTAAACCTATTTGTTAAACATGAAATTGTAATCAAAGTGATGAAGATTAACCTCTATGGATACAAGACTGGCAATTAAATACACCCTTTTCAATTAATTAGATGATACTGAAAATAAAATTTAATTAAAAACAGATATTTAGTGGCAATTCAAAAAGGATTATATGCTTCTATAACAATACAAAATCCAAACATCTTTAAAATCAATATCAATCTGAGGAATTAGTTGATTGGGAGCAGAAGCTGTATTAAAGAATAAACAATTAGCTTGCTTAAAAACTAATTTATATTGACCATCTTTTAGTCCCTATCAATATTAACTATAGTTGATTTTTAGTCAATTGGGGGGCTGAAAAGTATTAAAGCAATTTAAGAAGAAATATTCTAAATCTTTTTTTTAGGCCTAATATAGAATTAAAGAATGTTAAATCTTTTTCGCAGATATAAATCTTTGTTTTGAAATTGATAAAAAAACAAAACAACTAACAAGAATTGCTTAAATAATAAGTAGAAGGAAAGAACCTAAAAGCTAAAGAAAGAAAAGTTCAAACAAAAAATTTGAATGATAAAATAAAAATTAAATTGTAAATACATTATTGTCAGATGGATGATATTTGAATTTAATTTCAAAAAAATGAATAGGATGTTTTAAAAGGTTTTATAGAAGATTTAGCTTAGGCTTCATTTTAAACTTTTGAAGATGATAGAAAAGTATAAATCTTAGAGAATAATGAGAACTTAGAAGAACAACAAGATGGAAAAGTAAGATATAAATCATTTAAGACATACTTAATTGCAATAAGATTAGTTTTCCGAGTTAGATGGAATGAAATTATCATATTCATAAGGAATAGACATACTGCATTGGTGGATTAGCTTATTTAGAACAATCAAATATAGTTAAATGAAAAATAATAGAAGAATAGCATTATTTTGTCATATAAAAGGAAACCAATATTTAAGTATCCTTTAAATTATAACATTTTTTAAAAATAAATATATTTTCAATTCTTGTAATACAAAAACAATTTAGACATTGGTTAGATGTTATGCAATCAGTTTAAATATATAAGGGGGGAGGGGGTAAAAAGAAAAGTTTCATAGTAGAATCCTCCTCTAGCCTTAAAATTTGCTAGGCAAATAAAAAGATTAAATCTTAAACAAATTTACCATCGAATTACAAGTGCAATAACTAAATTAAACAGGATTTAAATAATAATAAATTTTAATTAATTCATGGATTGAATAAAATTTTGGTATTAGATTATCCTATTAAATAATGGCGCTTTCTTCTCGAATTTGTAATAGCACTACCATTTCAACTAAATAAATCTTTTAATTCCTCCCTTTATTTATAGATTTTGCTAAAATTTAGCAATTTTTCGCAAAAACTACCACATTTAATATAACTAATATAACTCAATTTGCACATTTCATTCAAAGTAACAATATTTTATTTATAAAATTATATTAATAAGTTTTCGTAATTGAATATTGGTATTATTAAATAGAGATTTTTTTTCAAATAAGAGAATGAAAAAGAAATTTGTTGAATGATTTTAAAATAAATTTTAATTAATTAAGTTCATCATCAATTCTTTTTTTCTGACAAAAATATAAAAGGTTTAAAGTGATATAGGAAATTAATACCAAGCAATAAAAATTTACATGTTATAATTTTAGTTTTATTTCTAATTCTTTTGTTTATAATTCTAATAGAATTTATGCAATTAGGATGAAATATTAAGCTCCATTCTATAATTAAAAATATTAAAATGGATAATCATATTGGTTAAACTTCATATATTTTTTCTGGTAGGAATTAGATTATATTAATGTCACCTCCTTAAATTCTGCTAAAAGAATTTTCAATAGTTGTTGAATGTATATAGATGTAACTATGATAATTAAGTATCTATATAGAAGCACTATCCTGCTGAATCTGAGGAACTTGATAAACTAGTTAAAGTTGAAAAAGATTGAGTTATAAATATGGATTATCAATCATAAGCTTTAATAATATAAAAGGGTGATCATAGTAATAGAATCGAGCATTAATAAATTATTGATTGTGATATTCTGATATAATCATATGTATAAATAAAAATACATGTTATCGTTGACATAACTGACATGAAATTAAATGTCTAATGAAGTGTTTTGAGTGAAATAAAATTGATTAGGTTAATTAAATCCTATTTAATGTTAGACTCTAAGCTCTTTCAATTCCCACAACTTCTAATAGGCATATTTAGCATTAGATATAGATAATCATTTATTGCTAATAAATATGTTTAAAATAAAAACAATTCTTACAATTACTGTAATTGATAAGGAAGAATCTTTATTACGAAATATTGTGCTGCTAAAATACCTGTATTGTTTATATATATATCATTCAATTCAAAGTTACTGCAATCAATTAAATTTGAGTATATTTATATAATACTGTCAAAAATAATTAGAACTTTAAATTTAAATCCTTCAGCAATTTCAATACTAAAAAATTAAGTTCCCCATTTATATTACATTAAATCATTATTGAAAATAATTTAGCTTTTATAATAGAAATTTAAGACAATGAGTCTATTAAAGTATTTAGTAAATTAAACTAAACTACAAATAGTTAATAAAAGATCTACTAATTATTATTATTATTGTTTTAATTGTTTGTATTTTGTTAGGTCGAATATTTTCATTTTAGTTTCATATTTCTTATCAATTAATCGATTCGTCTAAATTCTATCATCTTTATATTTGAGAGTATTCATAGTAATAAATGATAGCAAGGAATATATTAGAAATATCTATTTACTAATAAATAGGCTACCTTATTAGAAATCAAAAAAAAAAATGAAGGAATATATTTCTGAATAATCGTGAAATATGAATCAAATAAATTTATTTAATATAATTTAAGATTAAAATGAATATATTCAAATGTACTTATATAGATCATGAAAATGAACAAATACTGGGATTTTGCTTAAATCGGAATTGTAATTAAAAAATTTAATATTGTTATTAATGCTTAACTACTACTCATAAAGATCATATGAATGATTGTCTTCGATTTGACATAATGAATAAAGATTTTAGTCGATTTATCAAATTTTAAAATGAATCAACCCAATAATTAAGAGAAATTTACAATCAACTCCAGAATTGTTTTTCATAGATTTTTAAAAAAATGGATCAAAATAATAGGATATTGGAAAATATGAATTAAAAACTACAAACTCAAGATTACTTAGATTTAAAGTAATAAAGAAATATTATAATAAAGTATTACTAAAGAGAAGAAGAAAAAATTTTAAGTATTCATTTTATCATTAAAATAGAAAATTAAATAAAAGAATTGAGTAATATTATTAAAACAATGAAGAATATTGTAAAAGACTTTTTAAACGAGGAGAATTAAGTTACTATTGGAAATTAATAATAAGATACAATTGAGAAAATAAACACGATAAGCTAAGAGAACCAATAGTAAATATGGGATGCTAAAAAATTATTTATTGAAGGTAAATTTATTTGAATATAAATTAGGGTAAAAATTAGTTAATGAAGGTAAATTTAATGAAGCTTTAATTAAGTTAGATTATTCAATAAACATATTTATTTAGGATGATAGCATATATGTGTGGAAAGGTAGTTTTAATAATTTTTAAGTGTTTAGGCTTTGCATTAGAAAATTTAAATAAACTCTAAGAAGCTATCGAGTGTTATGAAAAAGCTATAAAACTTAATCCTAAGAATGATACCGGATATAATAATAAAGGTAAAAAATATTAATTATAATTATATAGGTTCAGTATTAAACAAATTAAAAAATTTTTAAGAAGCTCTTGAGTGTTATGACCAATCTATAAAGATTAATCCTCATAATGATACTGTTTGGAATAACAAAGGTACTAAAATTAATATTGCTATTTAGGTTCAGCATTAAGGAATTTAAATAAATTTTAAGAAGCTATTGAGTGCTTA